TATATATATATAGTATACACTCCCTTCTCTGTGGTTTTTGGCCCACTTGATGATTTGAAGTTCAAAAAGCTAACCAAGGGAAAGGCTAAAGCCACCCAAATATATATAATCAGAATCAGAGCTGTAAATCAAGGACTAGGAGACCTCAGCACCAATTTGGAATGAGCAGGAATTGTAGGAACACAGTAGAAAGCTAAAAGAATCAGCTGCGCACTGTGTATGGGGAAGGCAGAAGGAGAAACTGTGATTGAGGATAGTGTCACTGAAAACTGACTAAATAAAAAACCTGCAGAAGAGAGGAGGGGGAAGGCAAGAAGGAGGGGCTCTCTGTGGGCAGCAGGAAGACAGAAGGGAAAGCCACCAAGTTAACAGTACGGTTTTTGGCAGCAGAACACAGCCCGCTCTCTCTCCTCCAATTCAAGACACCACCGCAAAATCCATTTGCAGCGGGAGGAGCTGCTGCATATTTTAGCGGATTAAGGTTATTCATTCAGCTGTTGATCATTTATTTTATTTTTGTTTTCTGTGTTTCCTAAATGATTATCTTTGGAGGTGGGGCCTTGGTCTGCTTATGATTTTTTTTAAGTGCTTTAACATTTAAGCATTTATGTCATCTGACAGTGAGGTAGTTCCTGTGTTATAAATGATCTGGGCTAAGGCAGTGTGGCTGGTCCTGCAGCTTAGTGGAACTTTAGTTTCTGTTTAATTAGGAAATGAAAACTAAAAAAACCCAAAACTCCTTGTTAGTTTGTTTCAACCCCTTGTCTACAGAGCTAGAAAAAGCCCTAACAGACATGAAGTTGAAAAATCAAGTACGGCAGCCTTAGCTGTGTCACTAATGTACTCTCTATAGCTAAGTACAGAACTCAGAACTAGCACTTGCAAGCTACCAATGCAGTATGTGGCAGACATAATATTGATTTAAGTTAAGCCTAGAATTTTATAGAGAGGCTTTGTCCATTACGTTTAATGTTGCTGGGGTGGAGCAATGGGAAGCTGCTATATTTTGATTCCTCAGCTTTCTTACTTTGAACTATAGCTGACCCTTGAACAACATTGGGTTTGAACTTCATGGGTCCATTTACAGGCAGGTTTTTAAAAAAAAATACTGTAAATGTATTTCCCTTACGATATTCTTAATAACGTTTCTTATCTCTAGATAACTTATTGCAAGAATACAGTATGTAATACATATAACGTATAAAATACGTGTTAACCAACTATTACCGATAAGGCTCCCAGTCAACCATAGGCTATTAGTAATTAAGTTTTGGAGGAATCAAGTTATATGTGGATTTTTGACTGTGAGGGTGGTTGGCATTCCTACCCCCCATGTTGTTCAAGGATCAGCTGTATTATCAATTGATGTGATGGAAATATTGTCTTTACTCTTGGGCTACATTAAGAAAGAGGTATGGAAATCAGTGAATGGAGTTCTTATAATTAGAAATGATATTAATGACCATGTATTAAAGACATTACTTAAAATGAGCACAACTAATGGTCTAGAAAGAACAATAACTAGCTATGTCATGCTCGGAGAAAAGATGAAACAATCAGAGAACACACCACTAACAGAAATGGTATTTATCATAAATGATCACATTAGTTTTCAAAGTGCTGCATGGTTGGTATCTTTTAGGTTTTCTGCTTTGAGAAACCCCTAAGAAGATGAAACACTTATGTTTTAGGAACAGCACATGATGCCACATCCTTTCTGGTGACTGAAAAAAGTCAGTTAAAAACATGTGCCCACGTTTTGGCAGAATCTCTACTGTGAAGTTAGAAAGCACCAAAGTTAGGAAGGCAAGATGAACGAAAGGTCTTGTTGTGCAAGTGAAGCAGCCTCGGAAAGCAGACTTCAACCTGATTAAATCTTACCATTGTCTACAGAAATTCCAAGCACACTTGATATCTTTCTCACACTGAAAACACAGAAAAAGTCACTTTGTTATTGGCTTTTCCACACCAAATTGATTCACCGGCTTTATGGTTTCACAGCAGTTTTAACATACATCCTAAGCCGAGTGCCAGAATGTGGACACTGGTCAATTACATGCATGGGATCAGGGAGAAAGAAGTCTGTCCCAGTGGCTCTCAGACGTTGCGGGGGGCAGGGGGAGAATCAATGAAAAATTGGCGACAGGCAATAAATCCAAATATTAAAAAAAAAATATCAGAGAATGTTTGGCTATTGAACCTGCCAAATTTTGTTTTAAAAACACAAGTGGAGAGGTTGGGGCGAAGGGTCTAGCGCTTTTAGGTCTAGTGTCGTAGTTGACCACGGTCCACATTATGTCACTCTCTTCCAAGGACGGGAACTGCGCCTTGAGGTCTTCATCCTACTTGCTCTGAGCTGGAAGAAAAGTCAGGTTGGTGTGGTGTGGTGTGGCCTGGGGCTCTCCCCTCTGAGCTGTCACATGAGATGGCTGGCTGTTACGATGGTATGTCATGGGACTTACTGTGGTTAAAAGTGAGAGAGTTATCCAGGCTGCCCAGCTGCTGCAATCTGGCATGCATCATTCCTGTTCTGTTATGGGAAACAGGCAATGTCTGAGACTTTCGATCATGAACTATGGGTCCCAACCCTTCCTGGTTCCTGCAACATGAGTGAAATGGGATAGAAGCAAAAGTTAGATTTGTTACACTGCAGAGAAACGGGGAGCGTTAGTGAGGCGAGGACACAGCAGAAAGGAGACGGGCCACGCGTGGACCAAGCACAGCGAGCCTGTCTGTGAGCCAGAGACACACACGGCTCACAGCAAAGCACTGATGATGACAGAGAAGTCAAAACCAAGCCAAAGCAGAGAACATTTCAGTTTTAGAAAGTACTTTAGAGATGCTACTTAAAAAAAAAAAAAAATTGAACATCAGTCCAATGTGGTGCTAAAGTTAGCGTTCTGACAACTGCCAAAACGCCAAAAATCTTTTTGAATTATATGTGCTATTAAAGAGCAAAAATATTTTTTTTTAATTAAAAATAATGCATTGGGAGAAACAGAGAACAAACATGCAATGGGCAGGATTATACGAAATGGTTTGAACACCTTCTTACCCAGGTGGGAAGGAGAAGAGCCACACACTTTGTTAAACTTGTCAGCAGTCAAGTAAAGAAAACAGAAAAGTGACCTGGGTTAGCAATCAACCAGCTAACTTCCTGTTGTGTACCACCACCAGAGCGGATGAAAAATGAGGCCAGCGCTGGAATGACACCTGTCCCCGTCCCTTAGCCAGCAGTCTCCCTCCTTGTGTTATCGTGTGGACTAGAACAGGGCATGCACGGAACATCATAGGGCAACATGCTGCTGGGTGATTTCAAAGTGACACAATGAGAAGGCGCAGTATTCATAAAACTGGACCACCAGAAATGGCAAACACTGACGACATTTACATGATCGTTCCGAATCTTTTTCACATGCAGCAGAGACCGTGGCGATTTTCTATAAAGCATGGCGTGTCTTTCCACAGTGCACACAGCACAGTCCGCCACCTCCACCCCCACTTTCCTCTGCTCATCTATTTTTAAGATGGCCAAAGGATCGTACTTCTATATGCAAATATATACAAGGTGCTTATGAAGTTGGAGGATTTTCTCTAAAAAAATTAAATGTATAACCATTGGAAAACGAGTTCACAGTTTCACAAAACCCAATTTTAAAATATTTTGTTGGGGCAGAAAACTTCAGCTTCCCACATTCACCATATTCAGCTCTGAGGCATTTTATTCTATTTTGCATTTTCCAAATGCCATCTTGTGACGTAGGTGACAGTTACTGCAAGGAGGGTGTGAAGCTTGCCCAGTTCAGTGCCTTTTTGTTACAAATACATTTTCTGTCCATCTTCACGGGACAGTCAAAGGGAATATACTGTATAAGGATACCTTGTGTATACTTGCATTTGGTACTCAAAATCTCAAATGTAAAAATTACGGTTATGATAAAAACAAAAAAATTAAGATTAGAGAACTTTTAGTGCCACCATATTTCAATTAAACATAGAAAATATTAATAGGAGGAAAGCATAAAATACTCTCTCTAAATTTGCTCTTTTTAAAAGAAAACATATACTTTTATTTAATATAAAATATAATTCTGAAAACTTCTCAAATATCCCAAGAACAATATTAACATCAAAATGCAAAATCTTCACACTCAGACAGAAAGTCTATTAAAAATCTCTTTCCTATTTCATTGCTATAAAACAAAATTAGAAATTAGAGAAAAAAATTTCAATTACAACTAAATTTTAAAGTTTTTCCTAAAACAAATTTTTACTTATCATTAAACTATTAAAAACAATAGCATTAGAAACATAAGATATTTAGACCAGGACCCCATAAATACATTATCACAGGATACACAACATGGAAAAAGACAAATACAGACACACTGAATGACTACAGGGCAGGGTTAAGAACTTGGTAATGACAAAATGTGCTCTAGGGAAATACCTCCAAAGAAGGAGCTGCCTGGGTGCCCATCAGCAAAGAGTTTCTAGCTCTCCTCAAACTCAATGCAGAACCAAGAGTATGTCGTGGGGCAGGGCAGTGTGGATTTATAATACTCCACAAAGAGTTCTGGTTGGATAAAGACACAGGGCATGGACAGCTTACTTAGAAGTAGAGGAGAAAAGGCATAATTGTAGAGGTTTTGTGTAAATCCAAACAAATGTGAGATGGACTGAAAACATTCTTTCATTAAGGAAAAGGGAAAGTGGTTAGATGATAAATCAGTATCTTTGTAGCTGGGAGGCAGAATGGTAAAAACAAAATAAAAAAAAAACTACCTTGGAAAGTAAAACAGGGAAAGAAATAATTGGGGAAGGAGAAAAGAGCCAGAAGACACATCAAGAGGAACTGGAAGAAGAGACAGAGAAGACAGAAGGCACAGGACATGAGGGAGAATTTGGAAGCAAGTGTAGAAGTGTAGCCACAGGCCACAAAGGAAGGTCTTTCCAAGAGATATTCATGAGACAAAACGAGACAGAAGGAACATGGGCGGAAGATGCTCACAGATTTTATGGTAGCAATCCAAAGACCTGCCAACTGTCTTCATGGCTGTTTATGAGAATTCCAACTGCCAATCACTACAGATGACAATTCCTACACATTCAGATCCAAGTAATACAGACAATGACATAACACTTTAAACTGAAATCCCCACAGTACCTGGCTATATATCTCTTCCCCATGTACTGGAACTGGTGCAAGCAGACTCTGCAGACAGGATGAAAGATTGTTAGGGAAACGTGAAGATAAAATTATTTTCAATGCATTATTGTTTTTAAACCCATCAACAATAACACATTCAATAAATTCTTACTAGCCCCTTACATCTGGTTTTCAGAAATTCTCTAGATGGCCCTTCTAAACCAAGAAAAAATTACTAACCTGCAAAGGAGGCCCCATATTATGCTGTTGCCAGTACTGTGGTGGGCGGTGAAAGCCACACAGAAGAAAGGCCTGGGACCCGTAGGATTGTCCATCCACTCAGGGTTTAGACATAGATCCCAGGCAGTCTGCCTTAGAAACCACAACGGAAACCTCATGCACGGCTGCACTGTTCTGAGTTGCTTATTTGTTCTCATTTGAATCTATGTAAAGAGCTCTCTCTTTAGGCTTAATAAACTGGTTCCTTACAGACATCAAGTATGTAGTTTTTAGTTTTGTTTCAATATACCCACAACATTGATTTTTTAAAAAGCATATATTTAATAAGAGGCAGTTAAAATAATGTCCAATAAGTTCTGATGCTGAATCTTGTCTCACCATCTGACAACTCCCACCTTTAACTCAGCAGAGAGAAAACCCATGAGGCTATGAAGCAAAACACAAAAAGCTCAGAACAAAATAGGTTTCCACATAAGTTTGTGCAAATACATCTGGGCAGCAAATCATGACCCCACAAACAGATGTAAAGCCACTTATGGTTATGATTTACCCAATGATTGTGAACAGTCACAGTACTGCAGAAATAATGTTTTACTGCAGAAGCAGTAGTGTGTTTGATGGTGGGGTATTGCCTGAGACCCTGCTGGGGTCTTAGGGAGTTTACTCTACATGCAAATTTTTCAAAAATCCAAAAAATTCTGAATTTGTAAAATCATCTGACCCCATCAGTTTTGGATAATGGATTGTGGATTTGTGAAATGAGCTTAAAGAAAATCAGAAACTTAAACTGAAGAGATAAAATGAGATAATATAGATAGTATATAAGATTTTACTTACCATATATTTTTAAATTATACTAATTTTTCTATCTCAGTTTCTGCATCTATTTAAGTTAGATTCAACTTAGAAATGCAGCATCCACCCAACTCAGCTAATATATTTTCTGTTTCTTTATTAAATTGGCTTATACACATAAATAGTTATCTCTTATAACAACCAAATATCTAATAATTTAAGGTTGGTCACTGCCCACTGAGTCATGATGTCCTGAGAGCAGGTGCTAGGGTGAGGTCAGGACAAATAGCTTAAGAGTAGGTATGGATGTGAATATACAGAATTCCTGGTTCAACCACATGATATTCTTCACACCTCTTGACTGGCCAGGAAAAATCAAGAGGCAAATAGCAAAACAAAACTACTCACTCAGATATTGTGAAAAAATCCATAAGTTCAGATGTTGAAGCCTTGTTCCAATATGTAAACAAAGCATCTAGAAAGCAAACATTTATCTGGTCAGAATCATGATATGTATTCGTTACATTAGGAGACGGGACAAGATTTCAGCGTGTAGGCCACCAAACCCCTTTTATAATTAATCAAAGGAAGAACCACAGTGACCAATCTATACTGGATAAGTTATACGATGGGCTTATTCAACCTAAAGAAGCTACATTTGAACACTTGAACTTCAATTTCTTCATACATCATCTAGTGCTATATAACACATACTTAACTTATATATAATGTGCTCTTAAGTGGACTAGAATGTTTAAAGAATACAAATGGGCATAAAATTTAAAGTCAGGTTCTCTCTTGATCTGCTATAGAATCCCTCAATAGGGAATCTGCTGAAAATTCTTGCATGTACATAAGCACTCCCTTCCTGACACAACACACACACACACACACCAATGGAAGCATATATACTAAACACACTGTTTTGCCCTTTGACTTTTAACTCCACAATACAGCTTAGATCTATCTCAATCTTTTTCAAGATGCATAATATTCCATGCTACGGATGCACTATAATTGAGTTTGTCAGTCCCTTACTGATAGACATTTACTTGTTCCTCCTTATCCTTATGCCATTATGAATTATGCTTTGACAAACATCCTTCTACATGTGTCTTTGTACACCTGCCCAACTACATCTATAGGACAAATTCTTAGAAGTGAAATAGCTATGTCAAATGGTATGTGCATTTCCAATTTTCATGCAACCTGAAGGCAATTTCTCCCCACCCCATTCCATACACAAAAATCCGTTCTAGGTAGATATTAAGATTTAAATGTGAAAATTTAAATAATATAGCTTTTAAAGAAAATATAGGAGAACATCTTCATGATCCTGGGGATACGTGAAGATTTCTTAATTCTAATTATAAAAAAAAGAAATTAATAACTTCAGGTAATATTTTAAAATCTTATAAAACTCTTTTGAGCCCTGGCTGGGTGGCTCAGTTGGTTGGAGTGCTGTCCTGTGCACCAAAAGCTTGTGGGTTCAGTCCCTGGCTGGAGTGAGTACGGGAAGCAACTGACAGATGTTTCTCTCTCTTTCTCCCTTCCTCTCTCTCTAAAATCAATAAAAACATATATTTTGGTGAAGATAAAATAATATAATAATAATAAATAAAATGAAACTCTTTTGAAGAGGCTGAAGTCTTAAAATATGTGCATGGCCAAAGAGCTGACTTTAAAGGGTAACTTTCACGTGGATGTAAAATTTTTAGTATTTGTCTTTAAAAAGCAGTTATGTTCTAGTTATAGATCATATTTATTATTTGAAACTTAAAACATATATTAAAAAATTTTAAACAAAGGAAAAACAGGATCATAGCTGGCTAAAAGTCCCTACCATAACATAAAGTTTAGAACATTTGACTTAATGGAAAGAATTTCAACTTTATAACCCAAGTATCAGAATAAGTGCCCAGTGCTTTTGCATTTGGTCCTCATTCAAAGAAAATCTTGTTTGTTCTTTTTTAACTAGCTATTTAAAAGTAACAAACTGACAGAAGGATAAAATAACCCAGTCCTGAAGCACTTTAAGAACAGGCATGCTGTTCCTAACATCTGAGTTACAATATCAGGCTGGTTTGCTGCTAAAACATAAGTTTGATATAAAAGAAACACTATTTTCAGACAGAAATACCTTCCACTGGGTGTTCAACGCCCACACCTATTGCCACCAGACACAGGCAGCACGAGGAGTCTTCAGATTCTCGAAAAACGGCATTTTGTTTGCAAAGGAGTTCTCCTTCACTCAATGAACTTAATGAAGGTCACTGAGTGAAGGTCATTAATGAAGCACTACACTTTCTCATTTGTTGCAGGGAAAATAAGACAACATTTTGGTCCAAAAGAAGAGATGTGACATTGTACCATGGCACAATATCATGTGATTAGTCATATCACAAAACCAGAGTTGGAGCTGTCCTGTCATGGATGTTTACAAGCTTACGTGGTACCGATAAAGCACTAATGTTGTGGTCATTTCTATTTAAAAATGTGGCTGTCAAACCCTTAATCAGTACCACTATTTCCATTAGAAAATGAAAACAACATACTTTGCTTCCAGGTAAAGCCAGGAATGTCACACACTTTAAATGGAAGAGATGCTGAGGTTCCCTAACACCATATTTTCTAATTCAAGACATAGACTAATAAAGTTATGCAAGTTACCAGTAAGTCTGTTTAGACAAATGAAATTTAAAACAAAATCAAAAGCTACTTTATTTTTCTGTGTCTGTCTCCTTTAGTTAAGATGATAGGTCTGGGATTAATATAAATTTATAAAATAGGACCATTCACATTTTGGAACTCATTTTCCAGAATAAAGTAATTAATAAAAATACTTTTACAAAGTAAGATTTTTATATTTCTACTCCATTTAGAGAATTAATATGCATTTCAAACAAGGAAGAAAACCTTTTAAATCATTGTATCCTTTCAACCAATTACAATTTGTAAAAAATAAACCAAACACTGAAACAAGGAAAGGAAAGCAGATTATCTCCAGTTTTACCTACCATCAGACATGCTTTTTAAGATGTAGAGGAAACACATCAGCAGGCTCTTAATCTCAGACTGATCAAGTTTGTCACAGCGAACCATAGCATTTCCCAAAGTGCCACTTTGTTGGTGCTGAAAAAGGAAATACAGGTGGGTTTTCTCCTTGAATAACAGGTAAGACAAAATTAGTTTACTTTTCTCCCTCGGAAGAGAAAGATTCTTAGAATTGAGTCCAATCATTCAAATTGGACGGTATTAATAACTTGTTGACAAATTACACACAAGAGCTACTCCTACTCCACACAAGCTCTGGCTTGTCTCCTGTACTTTCCTAAGGGACAAGCCAGATGGCACAAACCCTTCAGAATGGATAACCATCGCTTTAGTTACCAGCTTAGTTCTGAAATGCCAAGTAAAACCTCATGCAGAAAAGTATGTGCTGGGATCAAACACAGAAATGATGATTCAGAAGACACTGCAGAACCAATCACATCCTCAGGAAAACGTCAGTGGCTGAAACAGCAAATGAAGTCTATGGTGCTGAGTACCAGCCACAAAAGCCTGGAACTGAGTTGCTGCCATTCAGTTACGTCGTGGGGCACCCTTGGGGGAAAACAGTGGGGAGGTGCCCCATAGGGACAAGGAGAGACACCTCAGCACAGCACTGCCAAAGACCCTAAACTGATGAGGTCATGCCATCATCAGCTTAGCTCAACACTGCAAACATCAGAAAGCTCAGGGTGCAGGGTGAGGGCAGTTTTGCCACTAGACAGCAGGTTCACATGTTCAAGGGGTTCACATAAAAAAATACAGAACAAGAATCTCATCTCATGATAAAAACACAGAAAATTTTAAAATCCTCAAAGTTATATTTCCAATTGAAGGCAGGGAAATTTCTTGCCAAATACCAAAGCAGAAAGATCAGTGAAAAACTATCTTTTATTCAAGGTATTGGTGGGCAATTGAAAAAAAATAAAGAAATGTTAAATTAATAACATCCGTGAATATTTGTTTTTAAGGAAGAAATACTGGTGCAACCAGTGGCAAAACCATGGTGCAGATGCCTCCCCGGCCCACCCACTTCGTCAGGGCCGCCAGGAGAACGCAGTGCTTCCTGCAGCGGGAGGGAAGGCGCGGCATGCAACGTCTCCTCGGGCAGAGGTGGGATCGTTAGAAGGGAAAAATCCACAGTGACCCGGTTTCTCCTGGCTGACTGGCAGCTCTCCTCCTCCTCGCCAGCACTGCGTATGACACAAGCGGAGTGCCTCCTGAGCAGCTTCTCCCTCTACACACGAAGGCATGTCAGGGCCAAAGGGAAAGTTCAACAGGTCATGACGCACACCCACACTGCGATGCTCGCCCACAGAACTGTGGTTACGGACAGTCATGTCAATGCCAGCCACAGAGACACGCCATCGGATGACAAACCTGGTGCCGAGGAAGGGCGCTTTCCACGTTCCTGAGAGCTAGGAATACATCCCTAAATGGTTCACCTGTTTACTCGTACATGTGCTTGCCTATACCTTGAAATAAATTAGGACAACAGTGGCCAAGGTGAGACCAACCTGCCACGGATCCAGGTTTAAATCCAAGCTTTATCCATTCCCACAAGGTTCCAAAGAGTCTGAGCCTTAGTTATTTCAAGACGAAAGGTTAAATAGGAGGAAACTCTGTTGGACTGGGGTTGGGGGTGCAGCGTGAACAGAGTGATTTCAAATAAAGCCTTACCCCTGAATCACCTGTATGGTCAATTAATCTTTTGTGGAGCCAGCTTTGGACCCAATGCCCATTTGTAAGGACAGCTATGTTGTAAATGGTGTTCTCCGGCATACAGACCACAGGGATTCTAACTGAGAAGCATTCTGATTTCCCTAGCTGTCCAACCTGCCAGAACCATTCGCTCAAACTGGAAATACTGCCCTGATCTGAAATTCTGGAAACAGGAATCAGGGGGTTCCAGGGAATGGGCCCCATCCTTAATTAGTGCTCTGATTATCTACCCCAGGTTTAACTGAGTTGTGTGTTTTTTTTTAAGGTCACACAATGAACACTAGAACATGAAGCATGTTTACTTTGGGCTAAATCTATTTGTTATAAGAAACACTTAAATTAGTTGAAAAGAAATTACCTTATCCAGGGAATTGCTTTTCTCACAGTTCCTTTCTGGAAAGCTGTTCCCCGAATCTGTGCTTATGAGGGATCCTCTCGAATCAGCTGTTCGCACACTGTTGATGTTTGGAGTTGAAGTTGTATATGGAGAAGCTAAGAGGAAATTAAGCCAAGACCAAAGACTAGGTGAGACAGAACAAAATCAAGATAAGCACTGAACTTAAAGAAAAATTACTTTTATGGCACTCATTTTTTCTGTTAGGAATTTGGTTCAAAAGTTTCATTCAATCACCTAGAGAGTAGATAAAAACAAACTTTAATCAGGCACATTCAGACGTGCTGCCAATTCACTTATGAGAAACCACCTTTGATTGCCAAGAATAAAGGTGCACACACACACTGTTTCAGAATGGGACAGAATAAAGACTTAAAAAAATTTTAAAAGATAATACCACTTTCAACCATCAAATTAAAAAAATTAAACCATGCAGCACACCCGCAGTATTCAAACTGTATGTTGAGGTGCCCTAGAGAACTCAGAGCAGTGTCATGGGAAAGTTTACATTTTCAAAGAAAACACAATGATACTTGACATCTGCCGGAAACTGTAGTTTCAATATTAGACTGTGCTACATTCCTTTTGATGATGTCATATCTTTCTGAAGCTGGGTATTTGGTGGTTGCTATGATAAAAAGCAAGTACTGGGCGAAAATCAATGTGGAACAAAATGAGGAGGGCTGTGAGCAAACTGATTGCAAATTGGAGGAGTTGGGCAGTGGCCAACAGGCACACACATTCCATTAGTAAGAGCAGTGGTTATTAAAAATAAAATACAAAAGGTTTTCTTTTAAATTTATGGATGTTTTTCCAAATGCCTACTAAGCTGTTAGACTATAAGGACTTAAAGTTATTTGGCCCTAAGTACCTAATAAACAGAGCTGTTAGGTGTTTCTTTTGGCCTGGGGACTCCATGAAAAAATTACTGTGACAATAATGAGTGATATGAACTGAGGACTTTTGGGAAGCTCCGCAATAAAGTTACAAGCAGAAAGGAAATCTAACTTGGATATAAAATTCGTGATATTCCTGATAAAACAGCATTTGAAGGCAGAAATCAGCACCCACCACGGTACTGTGGAAGTTTTCAACGTAATAGATTGACTTCCTGCTTAAATAAGATGCACGTAAATCACATTAAAAATGACTCTCAGACTTGTACATTCTGTGCTGAACCAAAATGCATGCCTCCAACAGGACGGCCTGGCTGGTCATGCAGATAGCAGGAGAAGACTTTTGGCACTGTGCTCCAGCAAGCTGTAAGCACAGCCTCCTACACCCAAGCTGAAGATGCCTTTACCTGGCACCTCACAACAGGCTGGCCATTTTCAGGTGTCAGCATGCAAATTAGCTGCCATGGACTAAAACACTTCTAAATTAATCCCTCCCCTATTTAACACTCAGGTTTATCCACCACCATGCCTGAAACCAATTCAGTGTATTAAAACCAAGAGCCAGAGGAATTTGAAGAGCCAGAGGAATTTGAAAATGTAAGTGAAGGATAGAACATGTGAACCACTGGCCACAGGCTACATTCCCCAGAATAGAAATGATGTGACTGATTGTCACAAGGAACAGGTGAAAACCCTATGGAAAACCTATGAGCTTTTTTCTCTACTGAGAGGGAAAAGAAACACACATTATGGCTAAATTATAATTACAGTCTTCCTAATATACTTGGACTTCATATTTAATGTAGAACACAGAGCTCAGGAGAAAGAGGTCCTCAGTAAAATTAGATCCTAAATTCTCAGAGTTTTAGGCTCAATTTCAGAACTACCATCCCAATCTAAGGCAAACAGATGGAAATGCAATAAATCAAAATCAACATGCTTAGTAGAATTACGTTCCTATATATTATATTGTGTGTGTTTATATTTAATATCCTGGCCTAGTGCATAACTTTGAAAAATCTTAAACACCATGTAAGTAAAATAAAAAGAAGTGTAGTTCACCTCTCTCCCGTTTATACAGACATCCCAATGCAATACATTCAGTAGGTGATAAAAGGAACCCTGAGGCTAAGAAAATGTATCTTTGAAAATGAATGTAATCTCAGCGTTTCTATATCCAGCAATAAATCAGTTTTAGAAACTTTCATGCACCATGTTCCAAAGACATTAAAAAAAAACAAACAACTGCTGAGGGCGCAGTCTCAATATGCATGGAAACAGGATTTCTTCTAAATGGAGAAGAAAGGAGAAAGTCTGCTCTCGAAGGATAAGTCCTGGGACTAAAGTTAACCAGAAACTCCTTGATGAATAAGAGCTGCTACAGGTACCAGAAACAACTAGTAAACCCAGTTCATGGGTGGGGCGTCCCTGAAAGGTATTCCTAAAAGGGAACAGGGATTTAAGTCTTTAAAGAGGGGGTAAATGTAGGCAAGGCTGGATATCAATAAGCCTGTGGTGGCGAATTCCTATGAAAAGTGGGTTCAGGTCTTCAAATGCCAGAAAGAATAAAAAAACACTGTATCAGTCTCAAGTACTTTTGGTAACTTCACCATGAACACAGAGTACTGAACGCCAGTTATGTCATTGGAGTCATGCTGAGGATACCCAATGGTTCATCTTTGCATTCTCAATGCATCCCAAACCCTAACAAGGTGAATGAGGAACCAGAGGAAAAAAGTCAGACTCAGAACATCACCTCATTCTAGTCTGATCATTTCCACAGTCTTGAATCCTAAGAGTACTAGTCGGGGAGTTAAGACTTCATTACATCCCTAGGCCATGGGACTCATTGAATTGGAAACTAAGAGTATATCACAAAGCATGAATAATGCTAAAGAATTGTGATTATTACAATGGATGTCAAATGTTAACATTGAGTGTTTACCAGACCAAGTACAGCACATATCACATTAACCTTTATCCCTCTCTGTGACTCTGTTTTGGAGATGTGGGCACTGGGTGAAGAGGTGAGAAATCCTGCTCGTGGTAATGAGTAAATGGTGCAGTCTGGATCCAAAGCCACATCTGCCTGACTTAAAGCCGCTGCTGTGAACCACTACAGACAAGACTCTCTGAAGACAGCCCCTTCTCCACCCCAGGAGCATCGGCTGGGTGCACGGACGCAATGCAGCAAAGAAGACAGAGCAGAGGTCCCAGGACAATAACCAATGGAAATACTGTGTGCCAGGCTCTGCTCTGAGCATTGTGCATAAATTAATTCATTTAATCTCTACGACACCAAATGAGATGAGTATAACTATGAAAAATGTACATGAACATAAGTAAGATTAAGGATTGGCATTGGTATTGTAGGATGAATTCAGGCATTTAATATGAGGTTTCCAGTTTTATATTCTGCCCAGTTTTATCACCTACATGAAATAGCATGTTAATAAGAAAAACACAAAAAGTAAGGACATAAACTCAGAATGAACAAGTCCTGCAAATTACTCAGCTAAAAGGACCAACCTTAATTCTGCCCTGAGAATTAGTGCCATTGTTAGGTGGTCTAAGCATTCACCAAGGCAAGGCTTTTCAGTTATTCCAAGTGTGATATAAGAGAAAGGACAAAGACAGAATAGGAATATGTCTGTGACAAATCTGTGAAGACATATATTTTTTGTATCATTTTCTTTATGAAGGAGTTGGCACAGGGACTCAATTGTTTAGAATATTAATAAGTACATTTCTCAGGCATTTTCTTTCAGAGAAACTACTCCATTTGGATCTTGGTTTATGCCACCTGTTTTCCTCCTCATGGGGCTGCTCTTGTATTATTTCAGATAGAAAAAATATTCCAGGAAAGAAGATTTTAGAAAACCACTTTCAGGATTGCACTCTGGCCATAAATCACTATCCCCTTCAGGAATTACTCCGTCACGTTTCACCTAAATTGCTAACACTACAGATAAATCGTACCACTCCCCTCACACACACCTGCAAAGATATTCCTTTCCTAAAAGCATAAACACTCCAATTTACAGACTTAAAATGATAAATTAATTTAAGATTAACAAAAAGCCAATAGTACGAATATGTGAGTAAGTGTACTATATTCAGAATTCATGAGACTCTGGGATCTCTATTTCAGTGTAGAGTTGAGGGGTTCCAGTCATTAACTATCAAAACCAGGAAAACAATATTCGAAGCAGAAACACAGACTTCAGAGTTCTCATCTGAAAGCTAACAAGTGATTGAAGACACTTTCGGAATAAACCAGAGTAGAGCCGAGACGAGGGCCAGCATTACCGATGCCAGAGATGGCGCCGAAGAGATCTTTGTGCAGGCTGTTGTCCAGCGTGTTTCCGGACTTCTGCGGCGTCACCAGCGGGTTCACAGCAGGCAAAGTGAGCGATTCCTCCTTCACAGTCTGCAAAAAGCAGAGAAAGAGAAGAAATGATCAAAGATGATTTAAAGAGTCCTCAGTGGATCTTGGAAGCGTGAGGGCAAGTGTTCGAACAAGACAGGATGGCCTGACAAGTTACATGTGCCCGAGTGGGAGGAACAGCCACGCGGGACACCAGAGGGGGGAAGGTGGCAGGTGGACCAGAGGAAGAGCAAGGAGAAGGGAGCGCAACATATTTAAAGCCTAGGGGGCACAGATTTGGGCCCATAAAGTCACTTCTGTCCTCAGAAGGTCTGGCACCTTTCCCTTTCCAGAGCTCTGACGTCCAACGGTTCTCTAAATTATTTGGGTATGTTTTTTCCTTCTGAAAAAGCCTCACGTGCTCTTTCTATCTGGAATGCGGGATTGATTCTCTTTGATGTTGGAAATTCTCCCACATGAGCACCAGTGATTTGCAGGAGCAGCAGCGAGAAATCTCTGCAAGTTTGGAGCTGCATGTGTACTATCGATCAGGGGAGAAACTATGTTAATTTTAAAGTGATGTCACCAAAGGGATTTTACTGGGTACTAGCCAAGGAGAGACCTGTGTTCCTTTTCCTCAAGACCAAAGCAGTACAGAGGATAGCACTATGCCCTGAATTACTTATTCTGATTAGAAAAGGTTTAGAGAATACATCCATGAAATACAATGTTGTATAGGGTGAGATGAGCGAGGTGCAGTTTAGTTAAGACAGTGAAAGTTTATGCCCTTTGGAATTACAAAAAACATTCTATAAATATGGCTTTTCTCAGGGCATCATTATTTAGTGTATTTAGAGGTGGAGAGTAAAAAATAGAGCAATGCATCACTAGGGAAAAGGAACAGGAATACGAAAAGTAACTTCCCAAGTACGCTAGATGACAAAGAGGCAAGATTAACAGCTGAGCTAGTTCACGGGTCCAGAATGAAAGGGAAAAGGCAATTGCGGAACTGGTAACATTTGGCCAAACTAATGGCAGGTGGGCTCCAATTAAAAAATGTTGAGATAATTTCTGGGGTCATTCTTCAGTCAACTTAATTTCCAATACATTTTTAAATGACTAGATGAAGATAATATAAATTACTGTGGTCAGGCCTCTCTGGAGGTGGGGCCTGGCCTGACATCCAGCTTGACTTTCTAATTTTACACACAGAGAGAGAGAGAGAGAGACTGAGACTTTAGCCCAAAGAGGTGACTTTTCAAAGACTGAGTTGTATGTGACAGTCAGAACTAGAGCTGGCATTGGGCTTTCATAACACACAGGTTAGAACGATCCTTTTCTCCTTTTTTAAACCTCCCTCCTCTATAAAAATCTGTTGACAACACAAAGAAGATCCTGATGTTTTACAAGACATTGGGGCATTAGGAAAGCATAATTTTTATAATGATTTTTAACAAGAATTGAAGGTTTACTGACTGACCTCATCTTAGCCAGAAATATAATTTACTAAGTACTGTGTATTATTATTGTTTTAGTGGTAAAAAAAAAAAAAGAGAACAGGTATGTACTGGGTTGAATAGTGTTGCTCCCAAATTCATATCCATCCAGAACCTCAGAATGTGACCTTATTTGGAAATAGGGTCTTTGCAGATGCAATTAAGATTTAAGGTGAGATGAACTCATCCTGGATTAGGGTGTCCTTATAAGAAAAGGAGAGGACACCAGACACAGGAGAGGACACCAGAGACACAGACACACCATGGAGAAGGCCATGTGAAGGTAGAGGCAGAGATGCAGTCCCAAGCCAAAGAATGAAAGGATTTCGAGCAACCACCAGAAACCAGGATAGAAGCAGGGATTCTTCATCCAGAAGGAACCAACCCTGCCGACAAACTTGACTTTGGATTTGTGGCCTCCTGACAGTGAGAGGATACATTTCTGTTGTTTTGGGCCACCCAGTTTGTGGTACTTTGTCAGGGTAGCCCCAGGAAACCAACACAGGCTGTGTATATGTAAATAGGCTTACGTACACTGCCGGGGTTCACAGGGAAGGGGGACACCTCTCTCACGTTGATCCGTTGGACATTTTCTATCAGCAGACCAAACAGAGGCAGGTAGAGCGTGGCTATCCTCGCTTGATGGCTCTAAAACAAAGGCACACATTGTAAGTTTATCCCAGGCTCTGAGAATTTAATGACAGACTGACCTGACACTAGCCATCTCCAGTATTTAGATACTTTCTATAAAGACTGCTATTAGATTGTACTCCATAAACAGAGGAAAATCTTAATGCTGTTACACTAATTTTTTAATTGATTACTTTCTTTATATTACTTAAAATAAAGGATATTTATTAATCTGTATTTCCTTCCTTTGGGGACCACTCACCCTTGAAGCATATCTGTCATCAAAAGAATGTTTGATCAGCAGGTTCTTGAGCACACTGATTGCGATCAGCCGGACCTCCCTGAACTCCTGGAGGGCAGTCCCCACCTCCCTCAGTAATAGTCCCACCAAGAAGTGGTTTCTGCAGAACTCATCTGTTAATGAGTAGTCAAGCTGAAGATCTGAAATGAGGACAGAAACTGCTTTAGTTAAAAGGTACCACCCTTTGAATAAAATAAAAACCAAACCCACCCTCTATAGTCAGCCCACCCTGGGTGTGGCTTCCAGTGGGAAAAGTCTGATTACCTAAGATACTATTCTACTTCTTAACACATGGAGCTCTTAACTGAAAGCAACATTTAAACACAAATGATTGCACTGGATTTTGATTTTGAAGCATATTATATCCTATATAATTCAGTTGGTGAATAGTTTTAGTACCAATTTTTAGAATACAGAACAACATATATTACAAGTGTAATTCTGTTATTGACATGAAGTTAAAGTTATACTAATTGACAGTATTATAGAGGAGTGGTCTATGGATAACAAACATGTAATTAAAGAAAAAATAAATATACATCGTCTATTAAAATGCTCTTTACTAAATGAGTTCATTTACCCATTTCCTGGCAAGTAATAGCCTATGTACACCCATTAAAATCCAATGTGCTTAAAATGAACACATTAGCAAATACCTTATTTATTTTTCTATCATTAAATGAAGAACTTATTTAATGCAGAATTTTAAAAAATATACTCAATACTTCTGTACCTCTAAAAGCAAGTAAACTAAAACAAAAGGGACAAAACACCAACCCAAACTAGGAAATCATCAGCAAGTTAAATGACAAAACTAAAAGCTCTTCTGGAAAAAAGGTAGATGCAAATGTGAAAGTACTGAAAGAGGGCAAATAAAAGCAGGTAAACATCACCCTGAAGCTGAAACGTCTTTCCAGTAAGCTGTGGCCAGGATTTTAACTTTTATACTGAATCCATTAGAGGAAAATCTATTGACCCTTCCTTTGACTTTAGTTTCATATTAGTTACTTCTAAACCTATCCAGAATACTGACCCAAGTCCTATGAAGCCCTTTAGCAGAAGCGAAAGATTATTCCTCTTTCCAGAATAATCATGTATACTCTTTACATTAAGCCCAGAGTATCCAAATGACAGTTCACAGCTTGAATCCACATAAACACCTTAGAAGAAAACTATTTATGTGTTTAACTGTGTGTGTGTGTGTGTGTGTGTATGTGTGTATGTGCAGGAAGAAGAGGGGTAGTGAAAAGGGAGAGAGGGGAATGATAAAATTCATTATATCATTATAAAAAATCATTCTTATCAAGGTAAATTATCTGTAGGTGACCCACGCCCATCTGCTTGGGGCAGTCCCTCTTGTCACCAAATACCCAGCATTCAACTAGGAGTCTGTGCCAGTCTGCCAGGCACCTGAAGGATTTCTAGCTCACTCAGTTCTGCAGGATAAGCAATTGGCCCTGCTGGGTCACAGCGGAAGGCAGAGAGCAGCATACACTCATTGCCCAGCCACTGGTTCTAAAGGGCCGCCCTCAGCACCCTGACAGGTGAGAGGAAAAGACAGTCACGGTCCCCAAGGACAGGGGGACTGGTAACAGACCGTGAGGTGAGGGAGGGTGTGATGAGTTTTGAAGTGCAGGGTGGAGAGCAATTAATTCCAGTGTGGTGCTGGGAGAGGGTGAGGAGGAGTCCTGGCAGGTACCACATAGGAGATGCTGTGACTGGCTGGGAAGGCAAATGAGGTTTCCCCCAGAGAGGTGGCTATTGGAGGTAGAGGGATGTCAGGGGTAGGCCTGCTACGTATGAGGAGCTGGGAGTAGCAGGTGTGTCTGAAAAATGGGGAAGAATAGGGAGTGAGACCAGACAGCTGGGCAGGGGTTGGACCAGAGGCTGTTACCTCAGCCCAGAAAGTCTCCAGATGTATACATGGCCCTAGCCCCTCGCTTTCTTCAGATTGCCATGTTCTGGTCACCCTATCTCAAATGTCACCCTGTTTCACACCCCCTTTCCTTGCCTTGTTTTTCTCACCTTAGCAATAATCACTCTAACATTCTATAAATCTCCCTTAGGTAAAACAGCCAGGGATGATCCTCCTTGTGTGGATGAAAAGGGGTTCTACGGAAAGTAACCTCACAGGGCGATCTGATCACAAATTCCTAACTGGGCAGGTCATGGTGGGTAGTGGCACCCCAGGCATATGACTTTTTTTAGTAAAAGGTTGATCTTTGCCTTAAGCTAGACCTATCCACTGTTTTTGTGCATCTAGGCTACATTCCTTAGAAATAAGGGTAACCTTCCTGGCAACAGTCATCAGTTTGGCTCTAATAAAACCTTACGAAAATTCTTCAAAGGTTTGTACGCTTGTGGACACTTGCCCAGGACTGTATCCTGAGGCTAAACATAGTTGGTGCTGGGTAAATATTTGTTAAATGCATGAATGCCAACTCTAGGGCCACAATCCCTCTTCTCATACCTTAAAAATCAGTTTGAGTCTGTTTGAGGGGGAAGATATTTATGTCTCTGAATGAATGCCTTTGCATATCTCTCTGAATTTCAGAGTCAGTTGATTTAGGTGTTATTAATAGCTTGGTGGCATCCTTCACTTTTTCTCTCCTTTAGCATAAATAATCCTGAGCACAAACGAGGCACCAAACCCAGCAAAGATCACTCAGCAGACCTGGCAGACTACTTCGATTTACTCAGTGAAGGTAAAGAAGTGACTGAGCTGAACTGAAAGATACGGGACAGTTAATACAGACCCAACATGCAAACGTAAAAGCGTGTGAAAAGCCGTGTTGCTTGTGCTTAGGTTACCGCCACCGTTACGGACAAGGGCTATGAAAATGGTGGAATGGTACACGTTTGCAGTGAACAGGTTTTCTTGTCTGTTTTACTTCTTAAAGAAGCATCCTAGAGGCCCAGGAGCAAAAAGCAAGACGCCTCCCTGGGACGTTAGGGCAGTGTCTCAGCTACAGCGAGAAGACATTCACTGGTTTATCACGAGCTTAAAAACGGCCCGAAGTGCACGGGCAATGCCTGGATGAAGAGCATGTGTGAGCACTTCAGCAATGACTTGCATCCTTTATCTTTAAAGGAGGGAAATGCAAGAAAGCAAGCGGCACACCCCACACCTACCTACAGGAGTTTCATTTGACTCCACGGCTGGTGAAAGAAAAGCTAATTCATGAGAAAAAAGGAAAAGTGAAACAAATAAAAATAAACTACAGTAAGTAAAATGGATTTCTATTGTTTACACAAAGGAGCGTTTCAATGAAACAGGGTCACACTAACATGATCTATAGTCGGGTAAGTTTGCTGACAAGTAAGTTCCCATAGGACATTTTTATCAATATTTTTTAACATTGAAATTTAGCTAGAAAAAAATTAATCCATCAATGAGAAATTCAAATGTCATGTTGGAGTCAATTCTCTCATCTTATTAAAAATAAATGACTCTCTTAGTGAAAAGGCTAAGTAACTATAGGTAAAGGTAAGGTTACCTTGGTATCTTTGAATCCTGCCTTTTCCAAATGGCATTGGTAAGTTCAACGGAATATAATGTTCATGATTACACACCACACGGAGAAATTCAAACTTGTATTCAAAGAGGGTCTGCAGGGAAAAAAAGAAGTTTAGTCCTAAGTTAAATACCTCACTGGACACTTTATACAGCATCCTAAAAAACCTGTAAGAAACAACAGACCCAGTCTTCAGCTTCTTGACTGTCTTGGAACGGCATGCTCTACGCTATTTTAGATTTTAGAATGACTACAGGGACTTGTTTGAAAATTGAGAACACATTTCATTAAATGATGTTCTCCACTGGTTTTTAGGGCATTTATTATTTATGTCCCTCCTACTTCAATGAAGGATTTCAGGCGGCTTACAATTATAGACACAGACTGAACACAACAAAAAAGATGGGTAAGAGAAAGGCCCCTGTTACTTCTATTTCCTTGCTAAATAAATCATGACTCCCAACACATATACTTCCAGTTTTGCAGCTGAGAAGTCACTTCAGGGGTTTACAAGAAAATCAAACAGATATGTTTATTTCACATTCAGAATTCCCGCGTCCCTAACATCTCACACATTAACGCCAAATGAGTACTAGGTAGTATCTTCAAGAGAGGGGAGTGAGTTGTGTCTCTGGGAATGAAAGAAAATTCTGATGTGAACCAAGAGAAACAGGTGGGTTTCTGGAAGCGAATCGGTGAGACGAAAAGAACAGCATGCAACACACACTACCTTCGGGTCTCCAGGAGCAAAGCAGCTGGTGTAGTTGTTGATCTGCTTAAAGACGAAGCCCCTGTCCATGAAGGTGAAACATCTCTGCGGACAAAACAACCCACAACGGTAAGTACTTAAGCCCAGGGTTTTTGGAAAGTTGGGTTCTAATCAGTCCTTATTGCTAACAAGTTTATCCTTTAGAGTGCAAACATACCATTTACATTGGCTAAGCAACTATGAACTACTGTACACTAGCTACTCCTCGAGAAAGGACATTTCAGTCGTCACTTAGAGGACACCCTCTTGCCCGGAGCGCCCACCTTGATGAAGACAGCAAGGCTGTGATTCGCATTCTTCGATGCATCTGGGTTATCTCGAAACTTCTGAGTGATGTGTGGCATCAGCATATTCACAACTGTTTCCACTGCATGATGATAGGACGCAGGAAATCTCTGGTTTCGCAAAACCTGAAAAGAATTTAGGGCAAACAATTTGCTTTAAGTTGCAACCCGTTGGGGGAAAATATCTCATCCCTGAGTCCGTTTTTAAAAACCCCCAGCATTCTAATCTTATTTATCTGGAATTAGATAAGATGAATTATCCTTTCTCCTCTCAAAGTACTGTACAAGTATGCTAATACTTCAAATAAGCGCTGTGGATTAGACCTCAGATCTCAAACTTCGGCATGATAAAGGCCACCCTGGAGATGTTTACAGAAATATGGAGATGTGCTGGTAGTCAGAGACTGATCAGGAGCTGTGCTTTCCCGAGCACTTCTGGGGATTCTCATGCCTGTACTGCTCAGACATCTCTTTAGAAAACACTGCCTTAGGTTTAAGCTTCAAGTACTCAAACTGAAAAGACAAAGATGGATGATTGTACGTTGCCAGTTGAAACCGCTTAGAAGACCACTCAACAATTAGCTACCATTTACTGTATATCTTTTACATGTCAGGAACTGCACTAGATATTTTTATGTACTTTTTAACTGAATTATTATTAATTATTATTAAACTTTATGAGTCTGACCCTCATTTTTACAGGTCAGAGAGGTTAAGCAAATGTGTCCTCAGTCACACAGCCATCACCTAACCAAGATTCAAATCCAGATCTACCATGAGTCCGAGGCCTGTGCTCTCTCTGCTCTGAGATGCCCGCTGCCCCCTTCCTGCCTGTAATAAGTGGAACCACTTAATAGGGCCTGCAATGTGAAGGGGGCTGAATGAGATGCTCCATGCATTTATCCATTCATGCATGTGATTCTAACAGCCGCAAGAGGGGGGGTATTTTCATTCCCATTTTACAGATGAGGAAACAGAAGCTTAGAGAGAGTCATTAACAAGTACTAACTGATCTTTTAATATCCCTACTTTCTTCCTCCTTTTTAGTGGTGGAGCCCCCAGGTTTTATAGGGGCGCACAGCTGTCTAGCTAGAGACAACAGTTCCCAGCCTAATTTGTGGCTAGATAAGAGCCATGTGACTGAGTTCTGGCTGAGGGGCCGTAAGAGGAAGTGACATGTGTGTCTTCCAGCTATGCCCATAAAAGGAGTGGCTTGCCTTCCAAGTTCTCTTCTTTACCACTGCCTGGGATGTATGGTGGTGGTGAGCCGGTTTCTCCACCGGGTGCATAAGGAAGACACTTGGGCTGGATTACCGGATAGAAGGAGGGCGAGTCCCTAAAAGACCTTGGGGGACAAGGTTCCTCACTCTCCGAACTGCCTTTTGGCTCATAATTTTCCAAAAGTAAGAGATGAACCTTCTATCTTATTTAAGGCACAATTATTTTGGTCTGCTTTGGAGCAACCAAACCAGTATCCCAATATGAAACAAACAGTATTTTGTAACACTAGACTTGGAACTTAGTATTTCTGACATGGAAGCATGCTTTATGTTATGCATTAAATACCAGAACCTATTATAAAATTTTGAAATACTAGCTTTATAATAATCTTAATATTCAAACCAATAACAAGAAAATCTTTGTAAACTTATATAAACCAAAGAATTAAGTGAGGTAAGAATCAAGTAATATCAATTTAAAGTTCACTTAAAAACAATACAGTAAAATTTGAAATTACAAATGGATTCTGTTCCATACATGCAACCAATAACTGTATCCTGAGGTGCTGGCCTCAATAGATTATCAGCTTCCAGGAACCCATGCAAGGCCAACTCTAACCACCAGGCATGACTGCCAGTGACCCAAGATAGCCATTACTGAAAAACAGGTCTCCCATAAAAAGCTTGTGGCCTTCAGCATGAGGCTGAGTCAATGGTTGCTAAACCATGAAAAGTGGATGGGGAACTCTATAATGAATGGACAGGGTGGAGCACCACGTAAATCTATTATTCGATACTATCATAACTAAAAGTGCAACAACCAGATAGTGTATGCCTCCTGATGTGATGCAGTAGTGCTGACTACAAAGCATCCTTTACAAAAAGCAAATCGAATGAGGTTGAGCCTCTAGGTATCACTATAAGTTTACAGGAAAGACAGGGCACATAGAAGCATGTCACAGAAAACTGTGAAGTTGCAGTCAGCTAAATCTAGAATGTGAGAAATTATGAAAGGACAAATGGCCCACTTTCTTCAACAAATACATTGCATTAAAAAAAAAAAGAGCAGGAACAGTTTGACAAAACAAGAAACTTTGGAGACACATAAACCAAATGCAATGTCTGGGCTATGTTTAGATCCTGATTCAGAAAATCCATAGTAAAATAACATTTCTGAGACACCTGGGGGAAAACTGAATATAGAATGGGTGTCAGATGATAAGAAATATTTCTAATTTTGTTGAGTGTGACAAGGTGTAGCATTACATCTTTATTTTAAAGGCTTTATCAGCATCACCATAAAATGTCATTTCATATTATTGCAGTTAGAGAGCTAAGAAAACCCCCAGACATCTAAAACATAACAGGTATGTTAATCTGTTCCATGGGCTAAACTCCAAGGGGAAAGCAGACTCACTGATATAAAAGTTTCCAAACCATTGTGCTTATGAGCGCTTTCCATCTTGTCATTCCTGCTCAAGAACCTACCCTACCTCTCTATGGTCTTTACCAAATCATCAGCTGCCTGGCCTCAAAGCTCCCCATAATCTCATTGTTGTTTCTGAGTTGGTCTTGTTTTTCACTCTTTCCCTCTACTCTCCGCCTGAGCTCCGCCACTGAGGCCTTACCTGGGCATGAGTTCCTTCCTGTGCCTAAAGCTCATTCTCTTTTCTCTAAAGGTGGCATTTCTAGGCCCAGGTAAGGTTCCATCTCTACCTCTACGTTAATCTCTCATTCTGGAGCTCACACATACACCCTCCTGCACTTCCCTCCAACTGTTGCAAGCCGAATGTCTTCTTTCTCCAAGGGCTATGTCAGCTTTGAGGCTGAGGATGCATCCTCTGCTCCACGTGCATGGCTCCTCAGTGCTCTGCACAGAGCAAACAGCTGCTCAAAGCATTTACCCGCGGATGAAAGGACGGATATAAACATCCTGCCGTCACCTGTACCTAGGTCCAAACAGTCCATTTAGAACAGGAACCACACCATCCTCCTTCTACTTTTCAAATGAAAGCTCTTTCCTTGCTCAGTTAAGCCAGAAAAATGGCTGAAGGTTAAATAAGTAACACTTAAGGGCATACACTCATCCTATCCTATGCCAGGTTTTCCAGCTTCATCGAAGTACACCTGTGGAATGCTAGCAATTTGCTCATTCAATGTGGGAGGAAAGGAAACTCAAAATATAATTTCAGTCTGCTGAAATTATAGTTGGCAAATGTAAATGACAGAAAAAAAACACCTAAAATATGTTGCCCATTGAGGCAGAATGGGGTTGTGGGTTATAACTTAGTAGACCTCAATGACATATACTCAAAAACCACTTATTTTAAATTCTGAGCACATGTCACCTATGAAACACAGGGGCTAGCAAAAAAAATTTGCTTAGTTTAGATGCTAGTTCAAAGAGAGGCTATGACCCACAGCCTTCCTCAACAAATGTCACAGAGTATACTCTGTCTGCCTGGGGATGGGAAGGTGGGCACATGTGGCCACTCCCATCTTCAGAAAGAGTGCAGCAGCCACCAGAAGCGAGCAACCAACGTGCAAATTTATCCCTCCACGTAAATGTGCGCCAGATGGAACCACTCCACTAACACGGGGATTGTACACTGAAGGCCTTGTCTCACATACACTATGCCCCCCAATACTGATCAATGCCAGGTATCTGTCAGCAACACTAAAAGCATTACCTAGCTCTGATATGAATCGGTGGCCCAGGTGCCCCTACAAGATGGGTGTGTTCCTGGTCATAGCATTTGAAGAAAAACTCACAAATGAGGAAGGAAATCAGGTCAGGATTTTAAACACATTGGATGCTATTAATAATCTTCAGTCAAAAAATATAAAAACTCACCCTAGCTGATTTTACTTAGTGGTTAGAACATTGGCCCACGGACTGAAGGGTCTCGGGTTTGATGCCAGTCAGGGACATGTATCTGGGTTAGAGTTGATCCCTATGCCCCGGTCAGGGTGTGAGCGGGAGGCAACCAATCGATGTGTCTCTCTCACATTAATATCTCCCCGCCCCCTCTCTTTCTCTGTCCCTTCCACTCTCTCTGAAGGGCAATGGAAAAAATATCCTCAGGTGAGGATTTAAAAAAAAATAAAATAAAAACTGAGCGGATTTGACCATGATTTTGGAAATCACCAATGACACAGGAATGGTGATCATGAACTGGTCTCTTAAATTCCGAACACTGGGATCAGGGACTAGGACATATAATTCTTAAGATGTAAGTATAAGACAAATGTAAAAATAATGAATTCAAACGTATAAAATTCATTACTCCTAAGATATAAGGCAAACTAAACAAAGGCTTCAAAAAAGGTGAGAGAAGTTCCTAGATTAATAATACGTGATTTAAGGAAAGAGCAGCATGGTTTCTGGGGTGTCATGAGAGAGGAAGTCAGAGGGGAATCTTCCAAAAGTGAAAATATTCAACTCTCCCAAGTGGTAAGTAGGTGTTTTGAATCTCTTTTTATAGTAAATTATGTTATAGTTAAGTTTTCTCCTTCGGATGTCAATGTTTATTTTTAAGTTGGATAGCAATTTTAAAATAAGCTACTTCTAAAAACTCTCTGAATATTGTTTTAGGACCAAGATACAATTAACTTCAGGAAAAGGTTGTGCATGGTAGCATTTGAGTGGTTTGTTCCACAGAGTTCCAAAAACAAACTATTTCCCAGAGGCGAAGGAGAATTCGATTATAAGGCTGGAAATGGCAGAGCATCTGGGAGAGGCTGATTCAGTCAGTCCTTGGCTCTGCTCAGCTGTGTGACCCTGGGCAAGTTACTTCACGGGTCTATACTTCCATCTCAACCTCGGGGACAAAGGGAGGAGTTGGACCATCAGGTAGCTGTCAGGTCTCTGCCATCCCTAAAGGTACATTGGTTTAATTTGGCTCTGGAGTAAAGCATACATGCAACTGAGTCCCTTTATTAATCTATCACAGGTCTCAAAGATGTCATTGATACTTGGTTTTAAATATACTTCTTATGTTTCCAAACTGACTGTTACCTCCTTGACCATTGCTCCCATGGTCTAATTGTATACTTTTCCACCTAAATTCATGACCACACAAACCACGCTACATTTAACTTTGTAATCCTTGAGTCTGCACATAATAAGGGCACAAGGAATACTTTCTGAACAAATCAGTTATATTTTAAAATATAAGCAAATCAGCCCTAGCAGGTTTTGTTCAGTGGTTAGAGCACCTGCCCTTGGACTGAAGGGTCTCAGGTTTGATTCTGGTCAAGGGCACATACCTTGGTTGCAGGCTCAATCCCCAGCCCTAGTGGGGCCACGTGCAGGAGGCAAGCAATCGATGTGTCTCTCTCACATCGATGCTCCTCGCCCCTCCCCCCTTCTCTCTCTCCTTTCTCTCTCTCTGTAAAGCAAGGGAAAAAATATCCTTAGGTGAGGATTAAAAAAAAGCAAGTCATTAATCTCTCTAAAGTAATTATTTTAGAGCCAAAAATAATAAAAAATCCAGTGTGACCTTGTTATGGACTGAATTGTGTCCCCTCAAAATTCATGCTAATATCTTATACTTTAGAATATGACAGTATTTAGAGACAGGGTCTTTAAAGAGGTAATTAAGTTAAAAGAAGGTCATTAAGTGGCCTTCGTCCAACAGTGCTGGTGTCCTAAGAGATTAGGACACTGACACCCACAGAAGAAAGACAGTATAAAGACATAGGAAGAAGACAGCCATCTATAAGCCAAGGAGAGAGGCCTCTGAAGAAATCAACCCTACAGACATCTCAATCTCGAACTTTCAGCATCCAGAATAGTGAGAAAATAAATTTCTATTGTTTAAGCCACCCAGGCTGTGGGAGTTGTTATGGCAGCCTGTGCAAACTAATATGGAGCTAAAGCCTATCCTGCAATGACATTTTTAACAGAAAGGTAATATATCCAAATAACCTCCACATGTGCATGTGTGTGTGTGTGTATGCACACGTGTATATGCACACACACTAGCTTCACACTGCCAAGTAGATAGTCTGCTAGATTTTTCCCTTGGCAGGCTGTACTGGCATGATTCAGATGGTGTGTTACTCTGTGGAAGACAGGGCCCACCTCCATCTGGCATCTCCCTGTGTGTTAAAATTGGATTTAAAAGAAAAAAAGGGAAAAAAGGAAACCATCTGGTCAGGCACTAGTGCCCACTCTACTAGAGGAAACTACGGCTTTAGGTTCTGAACCACCCACCTTCTGCTTGACAAAAATCCATCAGCCTTTCCCAAGGCTTCCTCCTAGAGTCCAGATGGCCTAGATCCTGACCCTCCCTGCCTGTGGCTCCACCCTCCTTCCCATATTCATTGAGAGAGGCTGTCAGGCACCACAACTGCTGCTGGTGGCACGAGTGCCTCCAGCTCTCACCCAGACTCCTCCAGCTCCCACTTCTGTACAGCTACAATGCAGTGAGAATTCATAGTCACAATAGCAACTGCAAGAATGTGCATTTCAGAAGGAACTCTGCAACATCCCACCTGTGTTTACTGCCTTGGAATTTTATAAAAATTTATTGACGCTCAGACAACCAGCAACAACCAGTCATGCCTCAACAGGCATCAGTCCAGAGATGAACCTGGGCACAGCATGGGGACCCAGAGAGTCTTACAGGCACATACTCAGCACCTCAGAAAGGAGGGCTGGGGAGAGGCTAAGTTATCTCTGAGTCAATTCATTGGTTATAGAGGACGTGAAGTAGCATCAGATACTCATCCAAGTCCCTGAGAAATGTCTAGGATGTTCAAGACACTTAAGAGACACCAGGTAAATTCACTTTAAATGAATGCTTAAACTATTCCCATTTCAACACCCTTGAAGATTTCTAAGCTAGTCAAAGGAAAAGACACATTTTTCTTTGGATTTAGTGCTTGAGGCGTGTGGGCATTAGAGCCAGAGTGGTCTCAAAACCTGGGTCCCTCTGTTCACTAGCGGCATGGCCTTGGGCAAGTAACTCAAGCATCCTGGCCTCAGTTTCTTCATCTATAAAATGAGGGGTAAAACTAATACTTCCCCCATAAGGTTGTTATGAAGCTAAAATGCTTTATTACTGGAAAGTAATTAAAACAGTACTGTAAGCAGCACACAAGAAGCATTAATAAATGTTAGCTACAAACACAATGAAAGGTAGTTTTCCCTAAGCACCGCCACACAAGCCCTCATATGAAGTGACATACCTTAACTTTGGAGTTCTCTATCAAATGCTGAGCCATGGATTTTATCAAAACATCAAAGAAAAACCACGAATACTGAAAGAAAAAAAGGATTCCAGTAAGAAAAATAACCAATTAGAAGAGACATTTATTCTCTTAGGCTGACAACGTTACTGACATAAAACAGATGTGACCCAAAATCATGGCTGAACCTCTTGTCAAATTATTATTAGACCAGAGGTGTGTGGCAGGTGTTCTCCTGCTTTCACATGTCCAACAATAAGTGACTCCCTCCCACCAAGAAATAAAGCGTGTAAGCTTAGCAACCCATACAAGAGGCGCTGCTCAATTAGATGCGAAATCTTTCCTTTTGGCTGAGTCTCGCCTGCTGACACTTGCCTGTATAATCTCTAACCCACAGTCTTCCAGTGGTTTAAATATAATGGCTTATTAATACCTAAGAGGCCATGAAACTCTGAGTACAATAACAATTTGCAGCTTCAACAGGGGCACCAGTACAAGGAGCAAAGTTGTAACTGAAGAACTAGGAGGTGGCGATTGTCTCTAAAAGCACACAGAAGGGTGAATTGATCAAGCAGAGGAACCTGAATTTTCTTTAATCAGTTTTAATACTGCAGAGTCACACTGGCACTCCCAACGTACCTTAAGCAGTTTGTTGCTGGTGAGAAAATCAGCAGAAGGCTTGAGAATTGCGGTCATGGATTTGGCCAGTTCTTCATGCACTGTCTTATATTCAGAGGCAATATATGGCTCAGCCTTATAAGCATACTTTGAAGAAAAGGGAAAGATGCTTTAATGCACTGGTTCTCCAAGTCGAGCGGAAAGCTGACGAGGCTCCAAAGAATGACCAGGGACCAAGGCACAAATGCATGGGTGCAAGAGGAAGGTGTGGAAACGGAAGGTGGGAACGGTTGTTGTCATGTGACAGAAAGAGGGAGCTCAGGACGTCTTCGGAGGACCCACCTAAATATGTGAATCACCTGACTCAGGTCAGGGGTCCTTCAGCCCCCACTCCTCCTCCTCAGGACTTCACAAAATGTGTCACACGACACTGGGTAACTGAATCCCTAAACAACCCAAACTTTATTTTTTAAAGGAACACAGCTATAATTGATAGTATCAAAGACTAAGTGGAATGTAAGTAACTATTTAGAACAGGAACTGCCACTGAGTTTGCTGAACATCTCATATAAATGAAGAACTTGTTGATATTTATTCCAACAACATCTCTTGCTGTCCCATGTAGTCATCTACTTAGATGGAGGCCAGAGCTAACCTTCCTATCTTGGGAGAAGCAGTTTTCCTGGTAATTTTGGGTGGGAAAAAGAAAAAGACAACAAGCTATACCAGAGGCCTAGCTAAGAGGGAGTTAATAGTCTTCTTTAAACTTCCACATCATTTGGGTCACATTATTTGCAAAAGCCATTAAAAGGAGAAATGTAGTTGACAAAATGATATTAAGTAAATAAATGAATGGCTGCCCCTCTTTGGATTTTCCCTCATCCAGGTGCAAGCACTGGCTATGTGATATAGAAGAGAAAGGAGAGGTATTAGGTTTCATCACAAAATATACCCCAAAAGAACTAGATTAAAAAGTTCTTAGAAGGAAAATTGGAGAGCCACAGATTTAAATGATCGGGACAGTTATATTTTACATACCTTAACATATGACCTCAAGTGGCTCTCCAATTCTTCCTCATGGCACTGGGCAACCACATGAATAATGACCCTACACACCATAGGAATGAATAAAGCAATGAATAGTAATGTGAAAATGGAAACATTTCATTATTATCACAGTAGAACAACGATGACGCTATTGGCAGCACAGGAAACAAGGAATCAGATGGGATTTCTACATATGGGATCAAAATAAATTTCTTAAATATAATGTTTCACACACACTAGCATCCGGGTATGTATGACTGCTCCAGGTGTGGACAGACTGGAAGGGAAGGAGAGCGTCCGCCTTATGCCTCTCTCACCGTGTCACGTTGACGGCGACGTCCTCGTGAGTTGCTCTGGTGAGGACTCGGAACAGCTGGTTTAGGATGGTGGGCAGGAAGGCAATCATCACGTGGCCCTCCATGGCGTGCAGGCTCTGCAGGCGCGGGACACCAAAGTCTGAGTTATTCCTCTCAAAGCAAACGAGCCCTAAGCAATTTCCATTCAGTGACCATCACGTGGCCTTCCACGGCCAGGCTCTACAGACGCGGAATACCAAAGTTTGAGTTACTCCTCTTAAAGTAAACCAGCCCTAAGCAATTTCCACTCAGTTTCAAATAAGGATGGAATAAGTGCATCTAAAACAAATGGAAGGCAGTGGCCGGCAGGATAAGGGACAAAGATGTCCATGTCTTAATCCCCAGAGCTTGTGAATAGGTTACACGGCAAAGGGGGATTCAGGATGCTAACCAGCTGGCCTTAAGATAGGGGGACGCTCCTGGACTTACCCAGGTGGGCCTGATGTAATCACAGGGGTCCTTAAACTGGAAGAGGGAGGCCAAGGGAGGGGGTGAGACATATCTAGGGAAGAATGGTCAGAGGTGCAACTTTGGAGGCTTTGAGATGGATGAACTGGCCACAAGCCGAGGAATGTAGGCAGCTTTTAGAAGCTGAGAAGGATAATAAACCAGATTCACCCTTAGTCTCTAGAAAGGAAACTCCCTATTAATAACACCTTGATTTCAGCCCAGTGAAGCTCATGTCAGACTTTTGACCTACGGAAGGGTAAGATAAGAAATTTGGGTTGTTTTAAGCCACCAAGTCTGTGGGAATGTCTTACAGGAGCAATAGGAAACATAATACAGAGGCTCTTCTTCATCTCACAGGGTTCTCTGAGGTAGCCGAAAGGGGATTTGGCACAGCAGTGATTTCAGGATCCCTGTTCCGTTTCCCTTGCTTAAATAAACCAAGCTTCTATTCCACTTCTTATGTTTCTTATATTTTGTCCCCATGCTTAGAATGCCCGTTTAGCTACTTTCTTTTTAAAAATGTTCCCCTAGAACCATAGTTTGAACAGAATTCCCTTAGACAAACCCTCCTTGCTCCCAGGTGCATGGACTCCAGGAATCTCCCTGACCCTGCACAAAGCTGTGTTTACTGGCGTGCACTATTTGTTCTGTTTTGTTTTGAACCCACTTACTAGGCATTCTCGAAGCTTATGTTATCGCCTACAATGAACTAGAAGTTCCTTAATGGTGAGACTAAAGTCACTGCTTCTTATGTGCCTGTTACTGTGCTGTACACCAAGTGGGCACTCAACACAGACGGCCTCTGTGTGAAGGGTTTCCTACACAGGGAACAGTATGCCTTAGATCTGACCTGGGACAAGTATGCGTGGGACTAGGATGAAGGTATGAGGAGCGCTATTTCTGATTCCCCTTCTTGACACTGTCCAAAACTATACAGAAGCTGTTGGTGTGAGAGCATCTAGCTACGAGCATCCTTATAACACTCACCACCAGAGAGAAAACCCAATCAACTCCAAACTCATTAAAAAGGGGTTATTAAGAAAGCCATCTGATACCTTAAGGTATTTTACAAGTTCATTCCCTAGGGCTTGGGCTCCCGATTCAGTTTTCTGACAGTACTGGAAAAAATTATGCAAATGCTGATCCTGTGGGGGGTGGAAAAGAAAAAGAAAAGAAAATGAAAGTTTATTAGCATATCTGCTGTAGAAATACAAGTATTTGCTTCTTGCAGCATGAGTGTTTTATTGAGACTATGAAAACTGATCCTATTAAAAATGAAAACATCAAAGAGATGAAAATAAAAAATTTAAAAAATATTTCAAAAGATCCTCCAACAAAAAAGGAAAACTGTTAAGAAATGTTACTTGTACTGTTCATTTATTTCAGTACATATGAGCACCTTAAATTACTTCCTTTCTTCAAAAGAGGACTTATAGAGTAAAAATATATCTATATAATATCAATTAGACTCTTGTTTTGCCAAAAAAATCATACAAATTCATTCACAGAGCAATCAGTGCTAATTTTAATGGAATAGAGGATACCTGGGTATACACCGTGGAAACCAGATGAGTTGAAACTTTCAGCAGTGGCTTGCTTCCATCTACCCATTTGATTTCTGGACCACAATGCTGAAAAATATGGAGGGGGGAAAAAACATCCCAACAGATTAGTGATCTTGGCTTCAGTCACCATCTTGGATGAGGGTCCTGATGTGGTGCTGAAGCCCCAAACAGCTGTGGTGACTTGCTACTCATGCCTATGCCTGGCTCACAGCAGGATGCAACCAACACTAATTTCTGCCCACTTTCTTTCCCAAGTACAATGCTCTTCTTACTAGATTTTCTAAGTTATCTTTCCTGTTTAGTTGCAGCTATAAGAATTACTGTGCATTTGAGAGGGAAAGAATCCTATTTCACCAATGACTTAACCAAATTCGAGTTCAGGATTCTGAAAGTGATGGCACAAGGTGCCAGATAAAGCCAATAGGACAGTAAGTACTCCTGGCAAGGTCAAAGGGTCAACGTCGGTTTGTGCTTGTTTTAATGTCAGAAACCTCCACTCTTTTCACGTTCAGATTAGAAATTATAACTGAAGGTTATATGATTTAACCTTATTTTGGAATATTTTAACTATTTTTCCATAACATGGGCCCACATTTGGCGCTATTTAAAATGTAAAGAAACATTAAAACCATTCAAAATGAAATGAAACAAACCTTATCTAAGCATGTTATAAAACTGATGTCTATAAAATCTAAGATAGCTAAAAAAATAAAAAAGCAAAACCAACAAACCAATTGGAGACATCTGAGGCAATTCAAGCATTAATGAATCAGAAAGGTAACAGAATGAGCTACCATGTGGGTGAGATATTTGCTTATTAGACTTATTACATTAAGCTGGAAGACAATTCCTAATCGTTTGCATGACCCTAAGAATGCTTTATTTGAGCATGGCTAGTTTGCAGAGATTTTCTACCTCATCCAGTATCTCCAAGTCTTCATTCATGTCCCTGCTGAGGCACTGCTACTTCTGGGCTTATACTAAAATGCCCAAGCTATAATTATAGATTGTGATACTGTTAATAGCACTGCCTTCCAATGGCCTACGTTTACTTGAAAATGAATAACTAAAACCAAAATGCTGGTACGGGGAAAAATACTATGTGCTTTTTTGTGTTATTGTTGCTTCAGTCGATCTTTAATGTTTTCTGAAGGAATTGGGATAAACCAATCTTAAAGTCCTATACCCTGCCCATCCCAAGCTCCTGGTAGCCAAGGTAGCCAGATGGGAGATTAGCTGAGACGGGAATGTGCTGCTCGTTGGTCACCACCCTTCCATCTTTCAGAAGAGGAAGCCAGGAATATCCCACTGTTGAAACAAAGAACAAAAAAATTCACTGTAAGTATAGGAAAACTTAAGAAAGAAAGCCAATGTTACTAAGTTGCCAGATCTGTAAGAACTGTCAATATCAATCAGGGTTAAGAAATTGAAAAGACCCTGAATATAGTCTACAATGTACTCTGACTCCTTTGGGGTTAGAATTCTAAACTTATCTTTTATAGAAAATTACATATACAAGCCAGACATGCTACCTTCACAAACATCATCTAAAAAGTCCTTTGCGAAAGGATGCAAATTCAGATCAAAATACAATTTAAGAGCCTAACGTGTAAGTTATAGACAATCAAAGGAATGATGACATTTCAAACCTTGTGTTTCAACAACATCCTTCTTCTTTGTGCTTCCTTTACTTGAATTGTCGCAGCTGACATGGAAAAATGTGAACAACAAGTGGTGCTTTTCATGTAGCTGGGTGGGCAATTCTATTTTAATCTGCAAGGAAGACAAAATAACAATTTTTATAATATTCCAAAACAACAAAATTTCTTGGTGAAAGCAGCCACACTACACATCACCCAGTGCCTAAGTGTGCATTTGGTCTCCAAACTGACAGTAACATTTGCAGGCAAAGAAATCTGAGACTGTAAACTGTGCTAAGGAAGAAATGGATCCTATTATGGGCTGAATGTCTGTGTCCCCCCAACTCCCTCCCAAATTCACATGTTGAAATTCTAACCCTCAAAGGTGATGATATTAAATAGGGGCCTTTGAAGATGAGTAGGTCATGAGGGAGAAACTCTCATAAATGGGATTAATGCTCTTATATAAAAGAGATCCCACAGAGCTCCCTAGCCCTTTCCACAATAAGAATACAACTGATAATCTGCAACCAAAAGATGGCCCTCGCCTGATCACGCTGGCCTCTGATCTCAGACTTCCAGCCTCCAGAACTCTAAGCAATAAATATTTGCTGCTTATCAGTCACTCAGTCTGTGGTATTTTGTTATAGCAGCATAAACAGACTAAGACATTACTGACCAAACAAAGGAGAGTCGATATTTCAATTCTAGAAGGAATTGGAAAACACATGAGAGAAATCACTACATTAATTTAACACAGCCAAGGCATGGTGAAAAACCAGGGTGGAACATTTACATAAGAAAACCTAACTATAAGAAAGGTCCAACAAACGTAACTATATAAGTATGAATTTGAAAGAAACAATATCAGAATTATTAATTGTGGTAGTGACAGAGGAAGGTTTTAACTTTTTCTTTTCTATATTATCTGCATTTTCCAAGTTTTACTTTTTCCATAAATACATTACTTTTACAATTAGAAAAAACTGTGTAAAATAAATAATTCAGCATTTAGTTCTATCACTGTGATTTCAGTATACTATGCAGCTTCTCTTGAATTTTGCTTTACTAAGCAAAGAACTTGGAGTTTTCCTTAAAACCAGTTACACTGGGTTTTCCCTTGAAAACCTTACTTACCTCATCATAAAATTCTGGGTTTTGATGGTGGTGTAAAACGGCAGCAAAGGCGCTTCTTGTGAACACCGGCCCACCGGGTCTGCCGTAAATGCACTAAAAGAAGAGTTAGCAAAGGGAAACACCAGCATTCAATGAATAGAGTAAGAAAGTAAACTCAGATGTGTCGCAAAGAACACGCCTACAGCATAAACTTAACCATCTCTGATGGACTTCTGCCTCTGAGACTCCAGACCCGCTTACTCCTGGGCCCAATTCACCCTCTTGCTCACCTCCCAGCCCTCCCCCTCCCCTCCTC